GGGTGGTGAACACATGATACAATATACAGATGATGTATTATAGGATTGTACACCTGAAACCTATATAATTTTATTAATCAATGTCACCCCAATAAATTCAATAAAAATAAATAAATAAATAAGATAAAACACCTATAATTACATAGTGTAGAAAACTGTAGCTATCATTAATTTGTGTCTATGTGTGTTCATCTCACTTGTTTATTTTCTGTCTGAATATATGGGCCAATGTAATTTTTTAAAAACAAAAAATGATTTCATAGACGAATTTCCCTCATATGTTTAAATATTCTTTAAGAACATGATTTCTGCTATTCCAAGTCAGAAGGAAGTATGCTGCAATTTATTTAATACCCTATTTTGAACATTGAGGGTTTTTTTCCCTAAAATATTATTTTTAGTAACCCTATGATAAATAGCCTTGTGTGTGTGCATCTGTGTGCACATGCGTGTATATATTTTTATGTGTGCGTGTGTGTGTGTGTGTATTATATATATCTTGGTATGTGTATATGACTGCCTGCTTAAGGTAAATGTCTGGAAGTGATATTACTGGGTCCAAGCCTATTAAACATATAGAAGTGTTATATATAATCTCAATTAGCCCTATAAGGAATATAATTTTACCAAATTATAATTTGTCAATATTTATTTCCCTGCATCCTTACTAGTATTAGATATTTCTAGTTTTTCTCTAATCACAGCGAAATTTTCTATTTTAAAAAGTTATGTCATTGGTTTAATTCTCATTCCTTTGATTATGAAGAAGTTCAACACTTTCACATGTTTATTGTTAACTTGTTTGTTTGTCTGGTGAATTGCCTTTCACATTTCTGCCCATATATCTATTTTGCAGTTAATCCTTTTATTTTTTTTTGTTGTAAAAGTATCTGTATATTAAATATAAATAACTATGATTGTGTTATATATATATTTTACATTACTTTTTTTTGTTTCCTTTGCCTTTGATGGTATTTTTAATATTTCATTTCTACATTGTTAAACCTATTAATATTTACCTTTAAATTTTCTGTGGGTGCTTGTGTGTTTAAAATATTTTCCACTTTCAGATCAGAAACTATTTTCCTATATGAGCTTCAAGTTTTTTTATTTTTTATAAAAAGCAAGACTCTTGTGGGGATTTTTAAATAGGAGTTTTATGGTTAATCAATTGTTCTGGTACATGTGTATGTTGCATTATGTAATTTTCTAATTTTTAAACTTGTTTTGGAATAGTCTTTCCTTTCTTCATTGAATTGAAAAATTCTACTTTTATTGTATACAAGTTTTATGCAAATTTGACACTGGACAGTTCTCTTATGATTTGTCAATCATGCCAGATAATACTGTTTTAACTGTTACATCTTTATAATGTATTTAAATATTTGATAGTGCAGTTTCTCTCAGTTGATTTGAAGTTTTCAAAACTGTCTCTGGGAATGCAAACTAGTATGGTACAGATGTCAACATTATTGGTAGATAATAGGAGCTATAGAAGTTTTGAGATGGAGAGGAGCATGTAGGCTCTTAGGGAAGATGTGGCACTTAAAACACTGCACCCAGAATGATGAATCTGATTTGACCAGGCAGAGAGGAAGGATAAAAGGCATTCCGAGTGGGGGAAAGAATGTAGCAGCTTCCAGAACTGTGACCAAGCATTAGGTAATGGGTGATGGGAGAGGTAGGGCAGAAGCGATCTAATATTTGTTGATCGACTGCATGTGAATCACCACGTAAGCATTTTATAGCAATGACTCTGAGGTCAGCTAAATCGTCATACTTTGTCTCCTGTGTCAAAGCATGCTTGGTGCCCGGCTGGCACATTGCTCCAATTTGGATGCAGAACTCAGTATTTGAGTTTTTGAAAAGCAGTTCATTCACAGAAACTTTGTTGATCAGTGTCAACCACAGTTTCTTGACCTCAATACCATAGACATTTTGGGCTAAAAAAATCCATTCTTGTAAGGTGCCGTCCTATGCATTGTAAGATGTTTCTCTCTGTCCACCTGAGCAGGACAACCAAAAATGGCAGCAGACATTGCCAAATGTCTCCTAAAAGGTCAAATGCACTCTGAAACTCGCTGCTATAGGGTATAAACAAGGACAGGAAAGTTGGTGGAGGTTTCACACAGAATAGTGCCTAAGAAATAAATACCCTCCTTTTGTTTTCCTCGCTGCACTTCCTTCTTGGTTTCTCTGCAACTGAATTTGGGGTGCTGAGGGTGTTGTGCTTGGTCTGTTGCAAGGTTTCCCCACTATAGCAGCACTGATGTCTGCGTAATGATTTGTTCTGAGGGGTTGTCCTGCGCATCCTGCGCTGTTGAGCAGCGCCGCTGCGCTCTTCCCAGGACATGCCAGCACTCCTCCCCCAGTCGTGTCTCCAGACACTGGTAAAACTGCCCTGGTGGAGGACCACTGATAGGGGAATCAAGGATGGGAAGGTTGTAGGATTTTAGGCTGCATACTCCACAAGATATTGCTTTAAAATGCTGTGTTTTTTCCTTCTGAAACTCCTTTATTGGTTACTGTGCACCTAGTTTTCTTTTACTTCCATTCTCTCATGGCTTCTCCATCTCAGCACCATTGATGTGTTGGGCCAAATCATTCTTTGCTGTGCGGGGCTGTCTGTCTGGCAGCATCCTGGGTCTCTAACCACTAGCTGTCAGTAGCACCTTGCCCCCCATCTCCACCCCCTCTAGTTGCAAACCACTGCTGTCTCCACATGTTGTTAAACATCTGGCGAGGAGAGGAAGAAAGTAGCCCTGGTTGGGAACCACTGTTCTACCTTTACTTACATACCCCCCATACATTGGTTCTTTTCTGCCTTTTCTTTTAGAAGAAATGTATGTTTCTCTCCTTTTCTCACTCATAGACATTGAGTGATAATTTCTGTTGTTGCTGTTTCTTGAACATGATTGAGGAACCTCACAGTCTATCTCGAGAGGCTTAATTGTTACATTTTTTTCTAACATATACAGCATTGCCCCTAGGAGGAGTTCTGGCAAATAACATACACTCCGACTTACTAAACATGCATCATTTCTCCTCTGAGTGAGCAGAAACACGCCATTTGAGCTTCTCTCACAGGTCGGGCTATAGACTGCTTTGCATTAGGGTAAATTCGCACATACCTCTCTATTTCACTAAGTCTGAACGTGTGGGCAACGTCAGGACAAGCATATTGTCTTGCACCTTAGGCAAGTTAGTTCCTCTGACCTCGTTTCATCCTCTGCACAATGGGGATAAGATTGCCTTTTGAGTGATTTTTTTTTAAAATAAAGATTATAGATTATAAGTTAAAGCACTCAAAATTGTTAACCATTGTTATTAATTCTATCAAGAGATATTGAGTCCTATATAAAGAACCTTTGAAGCCAGAATTTAAACGTCAAGCACCTATCCTTAAAGTGTTTGCCTTCTTTATTTCACTAATTTCTGACTTCTTTCTTGTGGTCACAGCTGAGGCATGCTGGGAAAAAAAGATTGTTGCATTAATTTCTTTTATATAGTTTTATTTTTAAAGATTTTATTTATTTTTTGAGAGAGGGAAGGGAAGGAAAAAGAGAGGGAGAGAAACATCAATGTGTGGTTGCCTCTTGTGTGCCCCCTACTGGGGACCTGGCCCACAACCCAGGCATGTGCCCTGACTGGGAATCGAACTGGCGACTCTTTTGTTTGCAGGCCGGTGCTAAATCCACTGAGCCACACCAGCTGGGGTGTGTTAATTTTATTTTGCCAGAAATATTAAGGCCTGACTAACTCTAGTGTTCTCAAAAAACACTGAATTTTAAAATTTAGCATCATTCTGGGGGTTTCTTTTTGCAATATGAGAAGATGCATATTGCATCTAAGGAGGCATAAGAGATAGAATTATAAATTAGGAGTTTTTGATAAAATTGGTTTCTATGGCAAAAATGTCATTTGATTGTTTTTACTGTGTTTCCCAGTATATAAGATATATTTTCCTTTCATGTTTTTCCCCTGCAGTATATATGTGGTTTTGACCTTTTCAAGACAAATTGAAAAATAAAATCTGATGAAAAGAAAATAGACAACCTGCAAGTCACATCACAAAATCAATAGAAAAGCAGAATGCACTATTCTGGTTATTAAAAAGGGTTTCATTGTTCAGTTTGTTCCACAAAGATGTGCTTTTCCCCTAGATTAGAAAATAAAGTGTTGATAGAAGGCTCGGGCACCTGATTTTGGTCATAATATCATAGGATTAAGTGGTCAAGGGAACCCCCAAATTACTTAATACAACCATCCAAATACATTAGTAAAGAAAGTGAGACCTCCAAAGGCAAGTGACCTCCCCGCAATTTTTAACCAATGTTTAGTAACAGAGTCTGTATGACCATCTGATTCCCACTGAGTCACATCTGTTAGTGACATCTATTGATGTCACTTCTCTGTTAGTCACATCTATTGAAAAAAGATAGAATTCTGGAATCTTCTAGATTTAGCATTTACTTCCTTATGCATTAAAATAATTGGGGAATTATAGTGGAGATAGTTTTAGGGATTGTTGTGGCACTGATCGCTGGGTGAAAATGGAATATTTGGACTGGGACAAGCACGATAAAAACCCCGTTTCAATTCAGTGCAACCATTTTAAAGCAAGGAAAGCACCATTATTATCTACTACCAAGTCTTTAGACATCACACAGATGCACACGGCAGGCAATAATAGAATCTAAACTTTAACCAATGCATAACACCTATTGTCCCCCCAGATAATCTCTCACGCTCTCATTTTCAAGACACTGTTGATTTTATTAAGGAAGTACACAATTTTGAAAGCTTAATGGTATTACTTAAGAATTGGTTGTCTTCAAACTGCCAGTTTCCAATACTTCCTTATGTATCTTGGATACTGCATATCTTTAATATATCTTGAATCTTCCAGTTGCCTGGTACAACTGTTTTCAGCATAGATCTCAATAAGACTCCTTGGGTTTTCTTTGAGATATATTTGATTTTTCTCCACACTGTGTCCTTTATTCGTCCACTTTCTTGTATTGTTCGGCCATTGTTACAAGATCTTCGGGGATACTTTGATTGGCTCTTTCCAAAATTTTAATCAATTCAGGGACAATCTTCCGATTGTTTCTAGTTACAAGGGTAATGGATATGCCAGTCTTCCCTGCTCTTCCAGTACGCCCTATTCTGTGTACATATTCTTCAATATTCCGTGGGAAATCATAATTATATACATGTGTGATATCATCCACATCAAGGCCTCGGGATGCTAAGTCAGTAGCAATCAGTATTTTCACACTTCCACTTTTAAAGTCTTCCAGCGCTTGCTCACGGTCCCATTGTTCTCTGTTTCCATGCAGCGATTGCACAGCCAGGCCTTGGATGCTTAAATCGCTGGCTAAGTCATCAGCAACAAGTTTCCTGCTGACAAACACGATGACTTTGTCTCTAGGCGACAGGCAATGTAGGAATTCTTGGATAAGCGATCGTTTTTCTTCTTCTGTGGTAACAATTATATTTTGCCTCACTGTATTTACAGCAACTAAATCCAGAGAACCAACGTAAACAATCATAGGCTCTTTCAGATAAGATTGTGCAAGTCGACGAATGGTATCTGGCCAAGTTGCACTTGTCATAACAGTCTGCCGGTCCGGGCGCACATCTAATAAAATCTTCATTATCTGTGGTTCAAATCCCATATCTAGCATTTTATCAGCTTCATCTAAGACTAAGTAGGTGATGCTTCCTAGGTTGACAAAGTTATTCATTTGCAGATCATTCAGTCGCCCAGGAGTTGCAATAATGATGTCTATGCCTTTGGTGAGGTTTTTGACTTGTTCTCTTCTATTTCCACCACCATAAATACAAATACTTTTAAGACTTTTATATGAATACTTAGAACATTCATTTTCCACCTGGAGAGCTAATTCTCTTGTTGGAGTGAGGACTAGCATACCAGGACCATTCCTTCGCTTTCTAGGTGTTGGTTGAGAACTGATGTGAATAAACCCAGGCAATAAATAAGATAGTGTTTTGCCTGTTCCAGTTTGGGCAATTCCTATAAGATCTATCCCTTGTAGAATAATTGGCCATGCCTGTGATTGAATTGGCGTTGGCTTTTCAAATCCTGCTTTTATAATGTTTTTCATCAAGTCAGGATAATCCTGGAAAGCATCCTCAAATGTACAAGTCGGGTTGGGGATCGAACGTTTTTCACCAACTTTCAAGTCATCACACATCACATTGAAATTTTCCTCTCTCCAAATGTCTACCTCCACTTGAGACAATGAACTTGTTGCTTTGGATTCTATGTAAAAGTTTTTTCTAATTGGTGGTAGATCTGCCCATTTCCTTTTTTCCCAGTCTGCAACTTCTGCCTTAATGTGATCCCAGTCTATCAATGGCCGAACTTCTCTAATAACATTATCTGTGGTTAAGTCTCTTCCAACAGAGGGTTTGGATGCAGCATCATCAGCACTGTATTCTGAATTGTAGCTGCTTTCTCGTTTTTCAATAACAGCTTCTATGGCTGCTTTGGCCTTTGCTTTCATCTCCTTGCTGCCAAAAATTTTTACCTCTGCCTCGGGATCACCCTTTATGATCTGTATTTTGGTGTTTGTCCCCCTCTGGATGTCCTTTATTTTTGATCCACCATGACCAATCACTGCACCAATCATACTGTTTTTTATTTTAAAGACAAGAGCAGCCTCTCGGGGGCCAGTGGCCCTAGGCTGCAGGTAACTGGAGGAGCTGACCCAGCCCCTGCCTCTGCCGCCTTCGCCACCTTCGCCGCCTTCGCCGCCTTCGTCACCTCCGCCGCCTCCGCCGCCTCCACTGTCTCTGCCTCCCTTGCCATCTTTGCAGGCCCTGCCGGCCCTGAGTTCACTTAGAGTTGGCTCCGCCCTCCTCTGCCCTGGGGCCCAAGCCATTGTGGCATGGTAGAGTTTGTACAGACCTCTACTCGCCTACCTCAGGTTAGGAGATGTGGCCTGAGACCTCTTTCTCTGCAGGCTCTTGACCAACAGCCCAAACTGTGTATTAGGTAGGTAGCTATGTAGCGTTACCTAGGGAACCATTGACTGTGATGTCAGGGAGGGGCTTTGATGACCTGACCAATCACAGGTCTGGGACTAGGGTGAGGTAAGCAGGCATCGCTGAAGAAATTTAAAGTAACACTCAGTCTCAGGGGCTGAGTATATAGACCTTTGTAAGATTTTTGAGAGTGAGTGTTTCTTTAACATGGATGTCATAGGTGCTCAATCACTCACCTCATGCTAGTTCTGGCTCAGCTTGGGAGCAGACTCTAAGGAGGGCTTGAACTTTTATTGAACTTTTACATAGAGGTTTTGTTTTTGTTTTTGTTTGTTTTTGGAATAAGCCAATTATTTCCATAGGAGGAAAAAATAGTGGATTTAAAAAATCAACTTGTTTGTTTCAGTAAGTTTCTTTTTGTGTAGCAATACTTTGTCTAGATAAATTCAATTTCCTGTCCTCTACTGTAACTTATATCATCAGAAGTCTGTGAGGCACACACTTGGGGTTGGCACTCTGGCACAGATTCTTTGGCTAACCTCCAGCATTTATTCAGACAGTTTCTAGTTATTGTTTCAGGGAAGCTGTTTAAAAGAGAAATACAGTGAGTCTAAGGTACCGAAGGAAGTATTTTCAGTAGTCTGCTAGTTTTCTCAGTACCTCTTAATTTTGTTCCCTTCCCTGTGGTGTTATAGATTCACAAATCTTAAGACTGGAAAGATACGTAGAAGTCACGTATTAGGTGCAATGTAGAAGGCACCCGGTCAGCAATCTGAGCAAGTGGGTATCCAGCTTCTATTTAAACAATCTCAGAGGCTAGGAGTTCACTTTGCTTCAAGGATGTCCATGCCGTTATGAGGCAGTTTTATGGTTACAAAGATGGCGTTGAACTAAAATATGCCACCTTTCATTTCCTTAGGTCCTCCTTCTGACTGCTGAAGTTACGCAGAATACGTTTGGTTTTCCTTGTGTCTTTGTCTATGTTAGGGCCAGTGTCAGATCCCCTTTGTGTTCATCAGGGTTAAATTCCTACTTTTTAAAAACATTTCTTGGTATATGGTTTCCGAGATACACAGCATCCTGTTCCCTCTCCTTTGGAAATGATTCATGGAGAACCTTCTGTGATATGGCACATACAGCTAAGCAAAACAGATCTGCAGAAATGGCCTTAACTTGACTACAGAGGTCCTCTTCACTAAGCTTGACAATTCTACAAACTCTACCTATGGACTGAAGACACACAACTCCTCACAAGAACATGATAGGCACTGGAGTCCATTCTTCCTCATCCTATACTTACATGGTAGATTTTTTAATTATTATTTTGTTAAAATTAGGCTATATATTTATCATTTTATAGTCATCCTGTTAAGTTTGGTCAATTGAAGCAGCCTATTAATATAACTTTAATGCTGATTTTCTCATTCACCAGAATATCTTGCAGTTTTAAGTCTTTTTGCCAATTGCATGTTCATGGCACCTTTCTCTCTTCAGCAAAATTTGCTGGTAAAAATTTGAACAAGGTGAGATATTGGGTAGAAGTCAGTGAAACATTGGGAAAAACCTTCTCCACGTCAGCATTTTTCTGGAAAGCTTCTTTTTGAAGGAAGAAAGGGTTGCTGGGCAAATATGTTGGGAAATATGATATCCTATATCCCTTTCGTTACAGTCACAATACATATCAGGTATCTCAAAAAAAAAAAAACCCTCTGATAATTAATTACAGAAATTGAGAAAGTCAGTTGGGTATTATTTAACCCAAAGCTTCCAAGGGAATTTGCCAGTAGAACTGCTTTAATATTTTAATTAAACTTTTTATGTGGAATAATTTTAGATTTATAGAAAAGATACACAGATAGTACAAGAGGTTCCCATATACTCTTCAACCAGTTTGTTTTCTCCAATCTTACTTCTCCCTACCATGGTACATTTGTCCAGTATAAGAAATCAACATTGGTGCATCAGTGTTAACTAATCTCTAGACTTTACCACCAGTTTTACATTACTGTATTTTTGTGTATTCCAGGGTCCATTTTTGGACATTGCATTGCATCCTAGGTGTCATATATGATTTGTAATAGTTTCTCAATCTTTCCTTATTTTTAATAATCTTGTGAATTTTCAGGAGTGATTGTCAGGTATGCTGTATATAATGTCCTTTGAATTAGGTATGCCTAATGTGGTTTCTCACGATTAAACTTGGGTTGTGGATTTTTGCAGCAAGTTTAAAGCTTCTTATGTCTTGGCCCTGCTATCTGTAGAATGACACCCTGATATCTATCTTATATGTGCAGGCACAAACACACAGTTACACTATTTGGTTCATAGTAGGGACTCTGTAAGCCCCAGTTACCCATGTTACAGAAACAATAGGTATATAGAGACAGTTACGGACGTTCCCAAATGCCTGCCTAAGAATTTCCTTCATAGTTTCTTCTGGTCCACATCAAAATGAAAAGAATAAGGACAAGAATAATAAAAGACTTAAAAAATGAATTTAAATTTATTCAATTTACACCTTTTAATTCTAGCACCATGCTCTTCTATTTGTGTAAAATATTCCTTTAAAAACGAGATGAGGATTAGAAATGATTTTCAAAGACCTTTACTAGGGCAAACGAAGTAAAACTAATGCCAATAACCAGATCTGGTTTTGAAATATTACTGGTATGTGAACCAAAGGAATTATAAGCACTCATCTGGCACATTAGAAATCAGGCACAATGCGGAATGCTGTTAGGCATTCATCAGGATGGCAGGCGAGAAGGGCTGGAGGGTGGTCTGGGAGGCTGGAGAGTTGAGGCAAAGATCCGCAAGGGCTGTAAGTCTGATCTGTCACTAGGAGGTGTGAAATTAGAGACGGGAGGATATTAACATTTCAGGGGAAGAAACCGCCTCTTGGGAAAGAGATGAGGGCAGCCTGGAGGACTAAGACAAAAGACCCAGATTATGGAGAAAGGGGAAATGGAGGCTAATAGTGTGAGTCAGGGGAGAGGAAAAAGGAACTATCAGGAACCGTAAAGACAATCACAGAAGTTTCAAATGAATATGCCCAAGGAAGGGAGCGAACCTTGAGTAAAGGAGACAGGTGGCCCTGTCAGTATTAATCAGGAAACAGGTCCATAGGAAGAAAGCAGGACGTAGCGAAGTAAACAGTGGGGGCTGTGCTGGGGGGATTTTCAGTACATTAGACCGAGAGACTTCAACACTGTGGCGCAGTGGTAACTCAGAGAAGGAACAGCAAGGAAGAGAAGGGACCCAAGTAACAACGAACGTTTTTTTTTAAGTCCTATCATATGACATACATTTAAAATGCAATTATCAAATTATTTTATTTAATCATCACACAACTCCATATAAGTATTTTTCCCCTTCTTCATGTGAAAACACTAAAACTGATAGGTGGTACACAATATATCCAAGCTCGTGCAAAGCTATAGTAAATAACTTAGTTAAATTGAGACACAAGTCTAATCTGCTCCAAGGCCTTTCCCCCTTTACTGCACTTCTGTTTGTAAGGGAAGCCATGCAGGATTTAGTGCCCGGTCCTGGAGATGGAATGAAAGGAGTGTTTAATCAGAGCTAACTCAACTTTACAGGTTTGCAAACTCATTGAAGCAAAGAATCTTGGAGCCATCTGACTAGGAAGTTGGAGGGGAAGTCATTTGTAAGGCAAGAAGAGTTTGGTTTCTCACATGTCCAGTCTGTGGTGCGGTGGGGACAAGCAAGAAGAAATGCTAAGTAGGACTGGAGATTTGGGACTGTAGTTCAGGTGAGAGGACAAGAGCAAGAGGGGAGTGTAATCAGCATAGAAGCTGTACTTGAAACTGAGAATGGGTATTCTTCCCAAGAAATAGAATAACAAAAGCGAGGTTTAAGAGTAGCTTAAGGAATCAGAGAATCCATATTATTAGATAACAAGAAGAGAAGATCAGGAAGTCAAGTGAAGAAACAAGAAATATGTAATAGAATCAGAAGAGAGCCTTATACGATAAAATAAGGGAAGAGAACATGTTGAGAAGGCCTGGTGAATGGACTTCTGAATGTGGGAAAGGAAATCATCCATGACTTTCAGGAAGGCCCTTTTTCTTGAGTAATGGAGGAACATATTGCAACCAAAGCAGCTGGGATAAGAGACGGCTGGACCACTGGCGAACTTTGTATGTTGGGGAGAGAACTTTACATCTTGGACTGAAAGCTAAAAGGCACCATCTTAGTTATTAAACAAGGCTTCTAGGAAATCCAGACGTCATGGCCAGGTTACTGGGATTGTTCTGTGAAGGAACCAATGGATTTCAAGGCTAATTATCATGAATATTGGAAGGAAATGAACTTTAATAGTCTTTCAAAATATGTGGGAGGGAAGAAAAACAAAATATGTGGGAGGATAGGATGAGGGAGAGAATCGCAAGGAAACAGGACCCATTCATTAGTCGTTTCAGAAAAAGAAAGTCTTTCTAGAAGGAAGGAGAGGGAGTACTGGGAGTTCTTTCAAGAAGATTACAGTGCTATTTTTAGCTACCCATTAAACTTTTCTCTATCAAATTTAGTTTATTCTCCACAGAGTGGGGGGGATGCATTTTTTAGGTATATAAAGAAGTGAAGCTGTTGAGGTAATTAATTCTCTGTTCAGCACAAATAGTAAAAAAAAAAAGAAAAAGAAAAAAAAAGTGAGCTGATTAGCACCTGCAGTAAGCTCCTTTGGAGAAATTCTTGCTTACCAGCTATTTCCTATGGAAATTTTAACATATTGACATTCGTTTAAAAAATAATAACCTTCAATTATCCTTTGGCTCTATTTTGAGGAATCCGAAAGGCTTTTCAAGACTATTTCATTTCTGATAGCTATGCTGTCGATAAGTGGAAAGAACAACAGTTATTATCTACATCATTTGCA